AGGATGCTTAATTGAAGCTAATTTCACTAAGTGACCTTAAATAGCAATTTCCTTTTCATATGACAGAATGACTAATTTTATTTTTTTTTTCATTTAAGGCACAAACCTTCTATTTTTTCCTGCCTTCATGATTAACTTTGAAGTGCAAACTCCTGAATGTCCTTTTATCTGTGTCTCTTTTAACTGTGCACAACAAAAGTTAACCTGCAAGGTTCTTTTCTATTTGTTCACATAAAGGATTGCACAGTCAAGTATTGAATACAGATTCTTTTCCCCAGAAATCAGAATGCCAAGGCCATCCAAAGATGACACTGGTGAAACCACAGTGGATTTTGGCCCATCTGCAAATTACTGTGTCTGGAGGGAAAACTGCAGCAGGCAGAATTCATCTGTACTGGCCTCTTCCTTGTTACCCTGAGAATCTTCACCTCTGCAATTGAATTATTTCACGTATTAACCAGCCAAATGAGAGGCAGCAGAGCTGCTCCCTGCTGCTCACTCCATTCCCCTCAGCTGCAGGATGGACCTGCACTTAATCCTGACTTTTAGCCTGGACAAAGCCCTCCACAGCCACATTTAAATTTAGATAAACAGGACACAAAGCACTCCATTTTCTGACTGATTTTCTGGAGTCTTTCAGACAGGACCACTTGAGCTGAAAGGAAAGTAACTGAAATCCTGGGAAAGAGTAGTGGAAAAGGAAACAAACAAAAAAAGCCACAAACCAACATTTAGACATTTCTCCTCTCAACAACAGCATCGTTTCCTTAAGATGGGATCTCAAACAGGACAAGGGAACAGGCCCAAGGCTGAAGCAGCCACTGATTTCCCTGGTGTGTGTCTAAACCACGATGAAGCATTTCCAAAGCACCACTTAGCCCAAATCAAACACTTCCATTTCCCTGGGCTCCTTTTACAAAGCACTTCCAGGAGCCAGAGGTTCAGGCTGTGTCTCCCTCTCCTAAAACAGCAACAAGAACAATCCCCACAACTTAAAGAGCCTATTAACAAAAACAATGTCTGTAATTGGCTTTCATTGGCATGGCTGTGCCGATGAAAGGAGTCACTACACTCACTTGAACCCAGTTTCCACTGGGGACAATCATTGTGTAAGCTTCCCACCAATTCCAGCCCCAGGACACCTTCCAAAGGTAAAAAGTTCCCACTGTTTAGACTTCTGCACAGTGTCAAAACATAAATAAAAGAGAAAGGAGTGATTGAAGGAAGTCTCTCAGCAGCTGAGATAACCAACTTAAGCAGTATGAGCTAAATAGAAATCCCAATTTCCAATGCACAAACGCAGTTGAACAAAGCACCCCCTTCATGTGCCCACTGAGACTAATTCTCACTTCCAGATTTGCTCTTTATTGCGTTTTAAGGATGTTTTCCCACTCTTATTGGTGCTTCTCTGTGGTACTAACACAACCTCTGAAGATAAATTTATCAGGGCACCATTCTGAATTTATCCATGAAAATCACAGTAGTCTCAATCTTGCTTTTGAACCAGCATGGTCATACCAGAAGGGCAAGGTCCTTGTAAAGCAGCAAATTTCCCAGTTCAGCTCCATCTCTAAATTATCCCATCTTTTATTATTTCTGCCTGCATGTTAGACAGGGATCAAGGAAAACGTGATATTAACTGCTGCTGCCATTTAATTAACATTTATGGGTCTACAAGGAAAATAGAGGTGTGGATAAAGCCTTCAAACATGCTTTTCACCAGGAAAATTAATGGTTGTGATTGTAAGGTCGTGCCTTGACGAACACACTTGCACAGTTTGGGTCCAGGGTGGGAATTGTGGCTCCTGGCATGATGCTGAACATTGCATTTCCTATTTATACTGACAGAAAACAATTAATGTTTGCCCTAAAATACAGAATTTAGTGCTCTGTTCACACACCCCTCTGTGCATTAATTATAGGTTGGAGTCCAGGGAACCACATTCCTCAGCTGAAGTAAACTTGTGGAATCCCAAGAAGGTCCAGAGGAAATTTGTTTTACTGGCACGTGGTCCTGAATTTAAGTCCTTCTACACTTCAATTATTTTCCCACAAAGTCACAGCAAACCCCATCATGAAGTTTTCTCTCCAGTGTATTTTAAAATGGTCACAAACATTCAAAGAACTTAGCAGCACAAGATTCCTTGTTTCTCATAACTCAGAGAAGGGTTTCTGCTAAGATAAGGACCTTGGTGGAAGATTTTTGGGGGTTCTGGTTGTCTGGGATTTTTTATTTAATATCCCTTAAGATTTTAGCAGTACCTGCAGAAAATTATAGATTTTAATTATTTTTAAAAAATGTTTTTATAAATAGTTCTCTTCCTTATCTCAACTCAGATTTTACCTAATTAAATTAACACAACAGAAATAAAACCACATCATTAATTAGGAAGGAAGTCCACAGTTGTAGAAATTCTCAGTCCATGCATCCAGGTATCAAAATGAAAACCAACTGGCAAGACAAAATACAGATATATTTATATGAGATTCATTAAAGACTCATTTGTAGCAGCTTATTTGGCACTCAGTTGTCAAGAAAAGCAGTTTTCATTTCCTGTTTAGCATTTGTTTGAAAAACTTGAGGACATGATATGTCAAGATATTAAACATTAATAACATCCTAAAATAATGAAGGGGAAAAAATGAAAGACGACTTTTTAATAAACCAAAGCAACTTCATGTATAATTTTGCTTATAAAAATGAAAAGTCTAATATAAAACAATCCCACAGATAAAGCAGAAGCTTTATTTTCAAATCCCTCTTAATTTAATAGTGAGCTCCTAATTCAGATTAAGATGAAATTGTTGAAAGGCCACTGAGGTGAAATGAAGGGGGTGCAGCCTCATGGTTGGTAAATGCTGAGTAACAGATTAAGAGATGGAATCATAAATGGATGTCAGTGTTATTGTTCTTTATATTGGTACACAAAAAATTTCAACCAAATGAACAACTGTGTACATTGGAGAGGGTTTTTCACCTCTTGGCATATTAAAGAAATATGAATAAATGAAAAGCAACCATATGTCATCAGCAGCCTGAATATCTGAGGCCTCTCTCTTCAGATCAAATGTCAAAAGCAATACTTATTAATAGTAAAAAAGAATAGCTATCCATGATGCAGCTTGGAGAATGTAATGATTTCTTGTAAAATTTGTCACAGAGCAATAATACTTCCCTTTAATGACCCTATAAATAGTTCTGAGCAGCCTTCTAAGATTATCTGATACTGAGTCAGACCAGAATAGAGGAAAAGAAAGAAAAGTAAAGCATCAGATTCACAGAGGTACTGAAAATCCACCAGTCCTTGTTAATTAGAGCCATAACCTACTTACAATTAAATGACATTGTTTAAAAAGCACTTACAAGTTACTCATCACCATAAGATCCAAAAGTCATTTTTTTCCCCTGAATATAGTGTAAGAAAAAAATGCTCCTTGTGAACTTTCAAGTCTTTCTGCTCTCATTAATGTGATGGGGAAAACAGGGCCCCAAAAGGGTTTGGAGGCAAAAAAAAAGCTCTTTATCCGTTTTGGTACTCTGGAGAAAATACAAATGTGTAGCAACAGGAGAATTTTAATCACTGGCAGCATCCTTTAATCCACACCTTTGTAGTGCTCAGTATATAAAAATCATATGCTTCAAATTGCAGGTGTGGGTGAGAGAGAGGCTTTGCAGTGCTGCTGGTCCCATTAATCACATATTGATTGAACACTGAATGCTTTTTCAGGCTGCCTGACAAATTGGAATGGCTCTGGTAACCCCTCACTCAAATACATGTTCTGCCTCATTTTCTTTTACATCATTCATTAAATCTCCTGGGAATACACACAAGGCTCTCTCTCCTGGCTGTCCTCACAGATTTCTCAGCTTGCTGGATGTTCAGGTGCCCTCCAATCCCCACCATTAATACCTTGCTGATCTCACAGCAAAAAAAAACTGACATGAATTTAAAAATCCCTTTCTCTATCCCTGTTCAAAAAGGTCCCCCTGGGCTGTGTGGCTGTGCACAAGGAGGGCTGTGCTCCACAGGAGTTGTGACACTGCTCCTGGACAGCAGAAGTGACAGCAAATGTCACAGGAGATGCCACCCTCCCTCCCAGGGTTAACCTTGGGAGCTCCTACACGGTCACAACACGTGGCAGCTGCTGACACGTAACCAGCCGAGTCTTTTTTAGCTTGTCTTTAAAGAGAAGACATTAACATTCTCACTGGGCAGAAGAGAAGGTTGGTGAACGGTAATTTTCTAAAAACAGCTCCATGGAGTGTCTAAAATCACCTTCTCAGTGTTCCATGCCTGCTCTCTGCCCACCAGACAAACACAACTGCAAGAACTGCAGAGTTTTATGTCGGCAGATAAAGTCAAGGTGAGCTGCAGTCACTGCCTGTTACATCATCTGTAACAGTTCTGTAGTAAAATTTAGTTATTATGTCAGAATCCTTGCTTTCCTATTTGGTGGAGTAAGATTACAGTTCAATTTTCCCAAAACAGACTGAATAAAACAATTTAGGACAAGCGTTTCAGGTTATGCAGTAGAAGAAACACTGCAATATCATTCTGACAATTCACATTCTGAGACTATTTATATTTTTAAAAGTTGTCTTAGTGCTCCCATCACAGATTTTCATCATTTTATGAGGAAAATGCCACTGAACTCAAAAGAACTACTTGGGATTCTGCGAGGGAAGCCGTGGATTATGGTACTCCATGGATTATGGTCCTTCATAAAGCACTACCCTGAGGAAGGTTCAGCACCTTTCTCAACACAGTTCAGCTCTGAGATGCTGAGCCAGGAGCTGTTTTCCACCATCAATATTTCACAGGCCTTGGGATTCCATCCTTAAGATGGCCAAGGGTGATTTCTTCAAATTCTTGTAAAATCTATCATGTCACACTAGAACCTGATAGACTTCCTTATAAAAAAAATTAAAACCACCAAACTCAAAAAAGCCCAAAACAGAAAAAAAAACAACCCAAGCAAACAAAAAAACCCCATGGATCTGACAACTTAATCACATGAGATAGATTAATAAACAAATGGTTGGGAAACAAGGAGCTGAGGGACACAGAATAAGGCAACATTTCCCATAGAAATACTTCCTCACATCTAATTGTTGAAAAATTCAATGCCAAATTGATTTCTCAGCTGTGCAGACACGATCTGCAATATAATCTACCTTATAAAAATATCATTCATTCAATACAGGAATTCAAATGTCTGCAGAACTTGAATATAGGAAAAATAATTTAAGGGACAAAACCCCCAACTAATTCTGTAGTGCATGGTAGAGTGAAATTAGGCAATTACATTCTGAAAGGGACATCTCAGAAGAGAATTGTTCAATACATGGGTCCCTACATTTCCTTCCATTTCCAATACCAGATTTTTAACAACACAATACCACGCTCAGATGATCAAAGCAAGGAAAAAAAAAGCCTTTCAAACGTGACATTTTTTTTTCCTCCTGCTTCACATTCAGCAGGACTGAAGCAGCAGCTTCCTCCATCTCAACCTCTGCAAGCAACTCCATCTCTTTCACATTTTCACACCCAAAAACCGTGTTTGTGCTGCTCCTCCTGGCAGGGCAGGCCTGGCACGGGGATCAGATGCTGCTGTAGTCTGAGCCACGGGCAGCAAGGGCTGCTGCTGCTCCCCACTCCACGGTGAAGAAGGTGATTGTTCCAAAGAAGCCCACCAGCACCATGATCAGCAGCTGCCACTGCAGCAGGAAATAGTTGCTGTAGAAATAAGCAACCGCAGCACAGATGGACTGAGAGGAAACACAAAGTGGGAAGATTATCAGTGGAGATTTCCAGGCTGGTGCTGCTACAGAAGGATTATCAAACTGACATAGACACAGTTCAATATGAAGCTCTCAGAATGGTTTTGTAGTAGACAGAGAATCTTAAGGCTTCGTTATACCTCAACATATGTCTCAGTGTGTCCCACAACAGATTTAGTTTTTACTTGCTATTTAAACAGCATTCAGCTGTAGGAAATGAACACCAAACTCCAAAGTGTTTGTAGCATTGCAAGCTGGTATCTCAAACTGGTGAAAAACACTACCAAAATCTCTGGTATTTCAAACCACTTTGTCTAGAAACAACACAGACAAAGCACTAAGATCATAGCCCAGGAAACTGTTTCCAGCCTCACAAAATTATTTTACACCAAAACTCAGGATGAAAAAATTTGCAGGAACATTTTTCTCAGCTCATTAAAAAGCCCAACCCAGTATTTCAGTAATATCCCAGCAATCCTACTTCCAAAAGGTTGTGTTAGGCAATACCTGAACAAACTTAAAGATGGCAAAGGCAGGAGCACTGTCCTCTGAGTACAGGAATCCCAAAATACTGAGGAGCTGGGTGTTGAAGCAGCTGTCCCCCAGCCCCAGCAGGAAGCTGCAGAGCATGGCCACCTCTTTGCTGAAAGATAAAGGAATTCCAATTTAAAAGCCATTCATTCAAACAGCTCACACGTCTATGAACTGTTTCTGGCAGACTTATTTGGAAACTGCAAATGGAAGGAAGTTATCACACTTTTAATTTCCCTAGGAAAGAACTGGGAATGCCTGACTTGGCAAAAGGAGTCATTTCATCAGCTTTAATTTCTTGAATGCCAAGACTTCTGTTACTGTTACCTGCAGTCAATTCTACACTGAATTAGAATCACTAAAATAACTCATTTTAGTGCTTGGAGCCACAAAACCCACACAGCAGTGATTAAAAGCTGAGGCACACGGTGAGTTCACAAAATCTGCAGGAATGTTACAGAAATACCAATTCATCTGGCAGAAAAATACTCCAGGTAAGACCAGTCACCTGCACAGACACAAATGCTTAGAATTGCAAGTCAGCAGCTGGGTCTGCAAAACTGACAGTACAGGATTTTCACACCAATTGGTAAAAATACAGCCCAAAACAAAGTTGTAATGATGAGGTAAGAAAGCTTTCTATATTCTTCCCCCAAACACTGAGTGCTCTAAGTGCCTGCAGTCAAACCAAGTGGAATTTAATAATGAGCACTGGAACACTTTGGAAACCAGTGCACCAGGGCAAGGCTGGTGCTCCCTGATGTAAAACTGAGCCCAAAACTGTTTTAAAATAAACTGAAATCTCAACACTTACTAAAATAGATGCTGGTCTTGCTATTGTGCTACATGTCAGAAACATCAGCTGTAAAGTGACACAACTGCTATTATTCATCCCCAGGCTTTTTATTCTTATGCCACTCAAGTTCCTAAATTGGTTGCACACTGGTGGAATATCTACCTTTAATAAAAACAGAATTCCTGAGAGCTTTTTCTAGGGAATTAGTCACTACACAGAAAAAAACTTCAAGAAATTTTCTGCAGAGAAACAAGCTCTTTATGCACATCCTGAGTTACAGCAGCCAAAGGCAAAAAATCCCACCTACCTTGGAATCATATAAGCAACTTTATCTGTTCCTTCCATAGGAGCAATGGGGGCATCATTTGGCATGTTGAAAAAAATTAAATAAAAGGCTATGAAGTGGACAAGGATGCCCAGCATCACCACTGGGTTCCTGCCAGAGCGAATCTTCTTGCTCAGCAAGCCAAAGATTCCTCCCCCTGCAGGAGAAAAAAGGGGAGAGAATTGAATCAGAAGTGAAGGTTGAAATACTGACAATTTAAATTATAAACGTTCCCACATTGGGTAACAAAGAGTGACTGCCATGCAAACAGCCCCAAGGAAAATGGGGCAGGAGATTGATCAGATGGTTGCTGATGAACATATTTCACCTTTTGGCAAGGGTTTAACCAGCAGCCAGTTTCCCTCAGTATTGCAACATCACTAAGTGAAAATGGACAGCCTTGTGATCAGCTCTTAACTGCAAAAACATGCAGCTCAACGGATCTGAGCTGCTAATGAACAGTGGTTTTTTGTTAAACACCTCAGTACTTGAGTCTACAGAAAAAAAAAGAAATATTTACTTAGTTAATATAACCTGTATCCAAATTTATTCAAATATCACATCTCATTTAACACAAGCAAACCTTTTAAAGAAAGAAATCCTTAGTGTAAGCATTTATTCAAAAATTTAAAAATTATATCACCCAAGAAGTAATAAAAATGCAAACATAATAGTATTTCAAAACATCATTTAAAATAGCAAAATGGTGTCAATTCCCTAATAACATTCCAGCCCAGTGCTTCTCACATCTGAAGTCTGTGTATTCCTCCACATTAATCCAAAGAAAAAGCAGAATATTAGAATTGGTCTGCATCCACTTTACACAGTGTAAGGTATAATTCACAGTGCAGGAAGGAACCACAGTGGCAAATATATTGCTACTATTTCATTTTGTGTTCACACCATTATTGCTGGAAGTTCAAAACACACTACTGATTAAACACAAAAATATACCACTTTAAATAACCACATCACCCTAATCCTTTTTGCAAAAATAGCAAATTTAGACTCACCCAAGATTTCTCCAACACCAATAAAAATACCAGAGAGACCAATCAGGCTTTTCTCTTCACTGCCAAACCTATTCACAGCACCAATGCACGTTCCATACACTCCAGAAAAGAATGTTAACACCAAACCTTGGAAGGAAACCAAACAGAGATGCACTCTCATAACAGTCATGAAAAAAAAAAAAATCTTCATAGCTAAAGGCTGTTTTCCCCTCAGGTATCTTTCAAATCATGTATTTAAATGAGATGTGGGTAATAAAAGCAAAGAGGGAATTTTAAACTGTGTAATTATTATAATCTTCTATACCAGCTCCCAAAAGCCACATTAGAAAAGTGTCACTAATTGGTGTCACAGGCACACAGGTTCAGTGCTGCTACTCTTGACACAACACCTATATATAGTTTATATTTCTGCTTCTCAAGAACTCTGGAATTGTATCAAATGAAAAATGCCACATGAAATAACACAAAGCAAATGAAGAAATAAAGCACAATTACATTCAAGTTATGACTTCCCTAAAAGACCCTGCAGCCCCAAATACCAATAAGGAGATAAGAATACTATAATGAACTTTTTTATACATATACAATGAATTTAAGCTGAGAAAGAACAACTGTTATTTGTTTTAAATCCTTTTTCTTTCTTTCTATTGCCATTAGTGTGAGGAAAGGTGACACCACTGACCCAGCTAATTAGCAACCATTAGTATAAAAATACCAACACAATAAAAAAATGTATTTAAAACGATGAAAACAGAGAAAAATAGCTTAAAATAAATCTTTCTAATTTATATCCTTTGCTTTTTGGCTACAACAAATGCTGGTACAGCACACCCTGCCCTGCCTGGATGAACTGCATGGCTTCAAAATCTGGGGTGCACTTGGAGCACCTTAACCTGATCAGTAATTTTGGAATAAAAGCCCTGTTTGGACTCAGGGAATTATCCATTTTCCTGCAGAAAGTAGCAACACCAGCCCAGATCCAGAAGATGGCAGCAGATATTTTTTCACCAGTCTAGATTGATTTATTTTTATGCCACCTGTAAACCCAAATTTCAGGATATTCAGGCAAAACCTGACTCCCTTCTCTTGTTATCTTGCTCCACATTCCCACCCCCAGAGGGATTCATGTGAGTTAATCTGGGTTAACACAACACTGGAGATGCTGTGAAATAATTTCTAACTCAGATTAGTGGCTGGAGCAACCCAACTCCAGAGCTACTCCTGCTATTTCTCTACCAGGAGCTGCTGTAAATGTTTATATTTTGTTCACATCTAAGTTTTTCCTTTCCCATAACAATAATTTTTCCTAACGGTGCCTCAGGTTCTGAAAGTGCATCTATTTTATTAAAAAAACTCCAATTTGATCATGAGCAAAACTACATCTGAAGCCAAGTAAGGAGCAAGAAATACTCTCAAAACAACTCAAAGTTTTATAGGGTTTCTTTGCTGGAAGAATCACTTATGTGGCAAAAATATATTTATATTTTACAGCTCGTACATCAGTCCAATGTTGGCATTAACTACAAGTTACTAAAAAGAGTGAGAGCTCTTGCCACAGAATAGAAACAAGAGAAAATCCTATTGATAAAAACAGTTGAAAATGGCTAAGCTGGTTCCCAATAGAGCCAGGACTAAAATGAAGAGCATTAGCAATCTCCCATGCCTTAATGAAGATGTGATTTACAAACATTCCTTTAATTCAAATGCAATACAACTGCATTAAGCAATCTCCAACCTATTGATAGCACAATATCAAACCCCATAAAAGCTCTGTAAATTTTGCCTCTCGCTTTGGGACCCAGACCTTCACTGAACCAGCAGCTGCAGATTTGGCTGCACGCCTCCTCCTGTACAGAAACACTCCCCAGGACACAGAAACATCATGAGTAACCGAAAATTAATTAAAATATCCAAGTAATGTTTGCAGAGGTACAGGTTAAAATTCCAGTCTGGGGTTAAAATTCCAAAAAAATAGCCTGCTACTGCCCCATAGTGAAACTCTGCTGGCTTCATACCTGTGTAGGCTGTGGTAACACTGAGAAGCAGCATCTCTTTGGTGAAGCTCAGTGTAATAGATTTCTCTGTAAAGAAATAATAAAGAAAATTAATAAAACTTCTGAGACTACTACTAAGATAATCTACACTTACTTTTGCTCTTTGCTTAAAGCAAAAGATTGGTTATTATACAAACTGTATATTAAAGTTTTATTTACTGTTTATTACAGCAGAGTGCTAAATAAACCAACCCCAACCTGCCATCTAGAAGAAATGTGCCATCTAAAAATTGTATTTTTTAAGAAATGCAGTGGGGGAAATATCAAAGAGGAGATACAAAGTTTTCAATTATCAGACAATTTTCTGCTCTCTGTATTTTTGTACTCTCAGTCAATGGCAACTGTCTCCTGAAAGGATAAATAGATTTTCAATGAAGATTCCCCACATCCTCACAACAAACTTAACAGCCTCAGGCAGAACACACCAAGCTTCAAAGGGAACTGCAGATGCTTCAGTTCTAAATTGTTAACTGGTAACAACTGGTGACAAAATCAAACAACCCATGGCTTCTTTTTATCTTCATACGTTTGTTGATTTTTATTTTTCGATCTCCCTGCCTTTCCCAAGTAGTCACCTGCTCCTTTTGTGTTCATCTCTACAAGGACGCTGTTGTAAAGCAGTTTGGATCTGAAATCACATCAAAGGAGGAACACTCCAGGTCTCTCCTGGACTACTCAGGTATGTGATTGAAGTGGTTTGTACACAACCACATCATCAGCACAAACACAGGGAGATGGCAAGGAGATGCCAGGCTTTGCTGAAGCAACTCTTATGTGAAATTGTACTTACTGAAGGCAGCCACTGCTCTCATCATTTTGTTTCCTGCAGACCTGGGTAAACAAATTGCTTGGTTAAAATGGAAGAGAATAACCACCCTTTACTGCTGTGCTGGAAGGCACCTTCATTTTTCAAACCTTCTGTACATTTTCTAGCCCTGCACTATGAACTGAAATATGACAATGTGTTTTTAAAAGTTTCTGAGAGCTGAAGTAACCACAAAATCTCTTTGCTGCCTGCACTACTGAATGCTTGCTTAACAGAATCCTTCTTTTGAGCATTTTTAGCTTTCAACATTTTTTTCCACAGGCATGCTCACTGATGTTTTTTCTAACATTTTCATTGTTGTTTAAATAAAGCAAAAATATTTAAGCTGATGCCTCAGGCAAAACTGAGCTGAATCTGTGTAACTGTGCATTTCTAATGTATTTATCAGGGTGGCATATATATTTAGAGATGTATGTTATGAATACATGTTCCATTTTGTAAAACAACCTATAAAAAAGGAGTATTTTCTGTTTATTCCAGCCTTTCAAGTGGGCTGATGAGGGCAAGATAAAACATTAAAGTGTTTAATAATAAATAAGAAGAGATGAAGGGTATCTTTTGCGAGGTGTTTACTTATCAAAGGAAAAACTTCACATGCAGTACTGAACTTCACCCTTGGGAATATACCAGATCAAGAACATTATTTCTCATATATTCTCATTGTTAAAATACAGACACTTTTCTATTAAATCTGTGACTCCACCAGGTTGTTGATAACATTCATGTTTCCAGCACAGAGGGGAATGCACAGTGCTCCTCTGCGGAGCAGGAGCACAAACGAGGAGATGTGAAAATATGTTATTGCCATCAACACTTACGAGCTCTCCCCCAGGATTTCATTAGTGGAATCATCATCCCCTGGAGCTTTTGTGTCCTCTTTTTTCCTAATCAGAAAGAACAGAACTGTGCCCACAAGACTGATAACAGTCAGAGCAATGAAGACAGTCCTGCGATCGCTCTCTGTGGAAAAACAAACAAGAGCCATAACCAGATGTGCAGAAGAGATTCAAACCAATCCAGCTACCTTCAAACAACTAACACACACATGCTACAGTGTTTAACACACACTAATTTTCTAGCTTACCTTCCACATGGAGCTGCTGGCAAACTCCTGTCTCAGTTTTATGGTGCTAATAAAATATCGGCAAATTAAAGAGGTCCCTCGCATTCTCTGCCATGCAAAGGCTATGACCAAGGAGCAGCCAATTAAAGGAAGTGCATAAATCATTAGCAGAAGAAAGTACATCTTTGAAGACTTATATTATTCAGAGTGGACATAAACTGCCCCAAACCCCTTCAGATTTCTAAGAGAATCTCAGCATCAGAACCATGAGCACTAAGACATCATAAACTTTAAGCTGGGAAACTACAAAGGCATTAAAACTACCAAAACCTCAGTAACTGCCACAGCAGCTGGAGGGGGAAACTGCTACAAGTTGGTTATTGCAGCAGAGCACAGACACATCTAATACAAAAGCCACTCCCATTTCCCACTATTAAGCAGGGAAAAAAAGCCAGTAACAGCAATCAGTTGTGATTGAACTAATGCATGACCCTGCAGATATTACCTCTGCTTCTATTTAATTCCCCCACTTAGCTCAACAGCAACTGCAAACTTGTCCTAAAAATAACTTGTGTATGATCACAGATCCAAAAAGAGAAGGTGTGCTTCACAGCATGAAATTCATGTGCTATTTTTATATTTTTATTTTCTATTTTCTTATTTTATATTAATTTAATATTAATATTATATTTTATATATCTATAAATTTTACATCTTTATATAGCTAGTAAAATAAGATTTTATTTTTAAACGCTGTTAGGGTTTGATATAAATTTTTCTAATAAAGAGGAATCTCAAGACATTTAAGATGGAGGGAAATGTAATAGCAGAATTGCCTCATTGCTCTATTCTGTGGTTAGCAGAGCAGTGAAGTTTGGAATGCACAGAATTTGAGACACCCCCAGGTTCAAAGTGTCTCAAATATTACCAATAACACTTAAACCTTTGTGTTACAGGTGAGGGAATGCAGAAATTGACCTTTAAATTCAGCCAGTGTTTCATTACCAAACCTGTATCTGTGGAGAACCTGAAGAGATGGAGCTAACAGAAACAAGAAGTGAACTGTTCCTTCTGCTCTGTTATTTCTGAAGCCTGATAATTATCATTTAAAAGTCAACATCTTATTCCTGATTGACTAGAACAGAATGAAATCATCTGTTAAAGGTTAAAAGAATTGACCATTCCAGTAGATATTTAACACTAGGACTAAATAAGGAAAATTATCAGTAATTGTAGAACAGGAAAATCAAACTTACCTGTTTACAGAGCACTGACTTCCCAGCAGCACTCATTTTAGGTTATTAAAATCTATTTTTCACCACTTTTCTTAGTGAATCCCTCTGCACTTACTTTGCCTGACTTAAATATTTGACAGAAATCTTTGCTTTAAAACCAGAATATTGACACTGTCTAGCTCAAGGACATGAACAGTCCACTGTTCTCCAGTTCCTGCTCTTTGCCAGCACCAAATGGAAAAGAATACAGCATTAATTACAATCCCATCAGGAAGTTCATCTCATAAACTATGCCAAGAAAGAGAGTTCTTTCTCCATTCTCCCAGCAGTGCTGCCTCATCTCAGCCTCTGTCTGCTTTGTGCCAGCACAATTAATGCAGACAGGAAGTTAACTGGGATGGATTTCCTTTATTTTCCTTTATTTCATAGCTTTATCTATCTCCAATATGATTTAGAAGAACACTCTACACCAGGAGGTTACCTTGGAATAGGATAGTGTGTATAATATATAAATATATTATATTGTATTATATATAATATTATATAATATTACTCATACAGCCAGAACACCATCCCCTCAAATAGGTGTATTTTGGCACAGGGAAAATCCCAGAGTAGCCATTGTGGAAAATCTCCAAGAAGAGACTATCTACAATAAATTTAGAATAAAAAAAAAGGAAAAAAAGGGAAAAAAAGTCTACTTTTGTATAAGCTTCCTGCCATTTTGGAGTTCATAACTTCATCTGTTAATTCATGCTACTATATTTACAGGTTTGCCATATAAACAAGCAGTACCCACCTGATATGTGAGTTTTTCCTTGCCATGCGAGGTATATATACAGATTTCCAAAAATCAAGCTGGAAACAAAAAGAACAAAGTTGAACAATACATTCTATGAAAAAATTAGGGTTGTAGCACCACAGTGGTATATTCTATACAAAAAAACCCATAAATCCCAAGACTGTGCAAACATGAAAGAAATAAAGATGAGTTGCTCTCCATGTCAGCTGCTTCTACATAAAACTCAAACAAATTTGAGGATTCTGCCCCAAAATGCTGGCTATTCATTTTCATCAATCAAGACACAAGGTGGTGGCAAAAATGAAGAAATCTGCACCTAAGTTGCTTCTAATTTTGGAAGGGTATAGGTTAGAGAGCTGACACATTTCTGGAGGAGATTTTGTAATACTTCCTTTGCAGGGTCATGTGTCTTGTCTGAAGTATTGCTTCAGCTCAAGGAAATTCTGTGTGCCTAACTACCATTTCCCAATATACAGTCATTATGAATGAATGAATGAATGATTTAAAATAGTTTTAGAGCAAGTTTTCCTCTTATTAACCCATGTATTTTACTCACTGTAAAACACACAATCAGCTGGCTTTGTGGAAATTGCTACTGTGACAACATACGGAGGGGTTAATTCTGGAACTGAAAACTTTAGAAACACAAGCATGTCCCTGGTTCAGGCTGATGTTCTCCAAGCCCAGGATCCCATCCCCACAGCAATATTAGCAATGCAGGCTCAACACCCTAAGCATTTCTGCAATTTATTCTCCTGGCTATGTCCCAGATATATATTCTAGGAGAACATTCAGAACTGCTGCATTAGAGGTGGTAGAAGGATCTCTCTTCAGGAACCATTTGTGCACCTGTCTCCAAAACATGAATTTGTTTGATTCCTTTCAATCCTGTTCACACCATCCAACTCTACACACTCCCATGGCTGCAAGCTCCAAGAGTTTAATCACCCACTCTACAAAACACTTTGTTTCAAACCAGTCCTTACTCTCACCCAGCGACCCCAGCTCCAGCACAGCAGCATTTGGTGAGCAACAGTTCCACACTCAGCTCCCCTGCTGCCCTCATTTCAGCACATTGGTATAAACTTCCTCTTCTTTAAGCTGATGTTCCTGCACAGGAAAGGGTCCCAACCTTTTCAGTCTCTCTTCAAGTCATCAGCTCTATCTTCTTGCATATTTTTCATTATTTTTCTCTGTATCTTAATTGCATTACTCTCATGAGAGGCATTAGCTATATCTGCACAAAACACTTTATGGCCACAACACAGCATTCACTGCCTTGTTCTCACTGCCCTTCCTGATGCTGAGCCTTTTGTAGATTTTTTTTTAGTCCAGCAGCATGCAGTTTAATATCAGAAAGCTATCAAAAACAAGATTTCTTTTCTGGCTTCTGACTGCCAGGTCCAATTTCAGTATCTTCACCATGGCAGAACCAGCTTCTTCCTCAAAAAAGGACACAAATTGTCAGAGCCCTCCACAACCAACAAGACTGCTGTTACATCCCTCAAATGCTCCCCTAACAGAAATGTATCTTTTTAACAGCTCAAGAGCTGAGATTGCAATATTCAACTTTATTTCATTGCCTGTTCTGTAATGTACAACACCAATAAAAATGTTGCTTCTGTGTTGTCTCCTCCCCACTGACTGCTGGGGAGCATTTTTTGATACAGTCTCCCACTTATAAAAAGATGTAAAAAGCAGAATGTGTACACAACCAAAAAAAAATTAACAAATGAAGCTTACCTGAACTGTAGGAGTGCCCAAAATATTCCACTGTTCCTTCCAATGGTGTTTTCATCAGAATTTTCAGTCAAGCAATTTCCCTGGGCTGTCCAGAGGACTGAAACAGACAGAATATACAGCTCAGGAAATAAAAATATTTTTAAAGTATATTCAGATCTCATAAAAAACAGTCAGCAGAGTGAGAACAATGCTTACCAGCAGCTGCAATGCCAATAAGCACAGAGGCAGTGTAGAAAGCCCATGTAGCTGGCTGGATAAAGACTGCAATGTATAGGCTAGAACAGAACAGATCAGTCCATTCAATACCAACCTAAAGCAGACAATGCTCTTTTAACAATCAGATACCTCTCTTAGGTGCTTCTAAATCAGCTACTTTCTCCTAAGGGATCTTGAAAAAACAGGTTGTATGTGGAAAATCTTTTTACCCTTCTAAGCACATAGAATTTTTTTATATAGTTATTAATTTGAGAGCATAACCTCAATTCCACAGTCAGCAAAGTCTGGAAATGCTGTGGAAAAAAATGTGCTGTTTCCAGTAGGCTGAAATACTCTGCAGTTACACACCTGCAGTATCTCTGTGAGAGGCTTTTCTTAGTCAGTACAATTTCATGTATGGCACAGGAGCCTTAGATGTGAAAAAATTAAATATTTCCAAGGAAGCAGGCAAAACTTTAAAATTAACACTTACCTATAAAACACACCACTAACAACCATGGAGAATTGAGGTCCCACTATTGCAACCAGCGAAGGTGATATAAGATTTGATGCAGACAGTACTCCATAAATAATGGACATGCTAAAAAAATAAAAAACAAAGACAATTTATACTTAAAAATAAAATATAGGCTACCACTGCAATTGATTTAAGAGTGATCAGCGGATTTCAAAATATCCAGTTAAGTATATACATAACAGCAAAACTTTGATGGTCAAACATTTCCCTGCTTTCTTCTGTTCCCTTCACCCATGGCACTCCACGTGGGAATACAGGAGTGTACAGTATTCCCTGGATTGCTGAGTAGAGTCCCAAACTATTGCAGGCAATGACATCTTATAATTTACAGCGTGCATTTGTCAAACTACCTGAACAGCAGTTATTGTATTTTGTAACCTCTACGTCTAGAGGAGAATGTTCTAGAACCTCATTTATCTGCCAGTAAGGTTTTCATCTTCTGTCAAATATACTACAGAAATTTTAGGGACATATTTTGTGCCAGTGGCATTTTTAGTTTGAATTAAGACAGTAAACCCTTCAAAGGAGCAATCAGGTTTTCCTACATGACAGATTAATTTGGCATGCAAAAGGTCCCTGATCATGCCTGGCGAGTTTGACTCTGCCAGAGCAACCAAGAGAATGTTTTTTTGTGGCTTTGCTTGTCTTTCTGACTGCTCCTTTCACATTTATGTTGTATTTCCTGAGAGCTGATCCACACCACCTGTCCTACACAAACACAGTGCACAAAGGCAAACAACCAAGGCTTGAGCTAGCAGTTTTGTTTATCTTTGAAGTTCCACCTTCTTCATGTCCTAAGGTAAAACACTGAGAATGTGATGACAGTGGGTTTTACCCCCTACAAAGAAAACATGCAAACCAGATATGTAGTTCAACTGGAAATAATTCAGAGCAGACCTGTGAGAAGCCTGTTTTAAACTGCTTTAAGCATGTCAATAAATTGTGAAGTCAGCAGAACACTGCAATCCCTTGAGTGTCTCTCTGCTGGATGAAACTGTAACTAAGTTCACCCTGCAAGGAGCAAAGTAAGAAGAAAATCTGTGTAATTACCTCGTGTAGCCACTGCCATGAAAGTCTGTGTTGTTTAAATTCGTGATAACAGTTTGCTGTGAGGAGAAGATCATACATTGTAATATGTTAAAATTTATCTTGGATTTGAGAACACCTGCATCGGTTTGAAGTCAGCAACAAACATAAGAATTTTTCATTAACAGACACTACAAAGTACTAAAAGAATTTAAAATGTTAATTACAACTCACACCACCTCCACAACAAAGGTGCAGGAGATACTTAGAAGGGAAACATCTATGTTTGAAGAAGAAATTAGTACTTTATTATTAAACCATAGTTTCATAAGAGACCTAAAATACTTGACAAAACTTCTGTTTCACTTAACATCTCTCTTACGTAGATAGGTATGACTATCTTAATTTTAAAAGTGGGGGGAAAAAAGGAGAAGTTTCAGAATAATCTTAACTTGACCTAACCATGAATCCCTGATAAGAGTTTCCATTATTTTCAGCTTCCTGTTATTTCTCTGTTCCTTTTTTTCCTCTTGAATCAGCTTTGGTGATCATGAGACCACATAGTTAGTTGGACTGGCAGTCAGATCTGATTGAAAGTCACCTGTAAAGACTTTTATGACAATGAATTACATGATTGTATGATCACAAAGTCCAATTCAGTAAGGTGCTGAATTCATTGCAGAATTTCTGACATTGCTGGGCTTCACTTAAGAGCTCACAAAAAGTATCACACTGCACTAGGACTCACAAAAACCACCTCAAGCATATATATATATATGCTATTATATATATATATATATTTCTATAATGCAGTGAAGAACATTTATCTGTCTGAACCCAGAAAGTAAGACCTGTGGGCTCAAGAGGGATGTTGAAATCTAACTGCCCTGAAGGAACAGAACTAATAATACTGAAAGCAGCTCAGGAAGTTAAAGGGCTAAACCTGGCAATAGCAGGAGTATAAAAAATTAAATAGTAACAGTAAATTTGGATTATGCTGTGCTCAATTTTTGCTGTGCAAAGAGATAGTAAATAGCAAATAACTCCTTCAGCTGGAAGGTGACTTGGCAGTTTAGCAGTTGTAGAAATCTATTTGTCAGGTGTTATCCTCATACTCCCCCTCAATATCTAGTTTCTTAGATTATGAAAATCTAGTCAATAATAGCATGGTTAATAACTTAGGCAAATATTTTGAAAGGGACTATACAGAATATAGAATTATACAAGGTTCAGTGTAATTGCACTGTCCAACATCACAAGTGCCAAAGCAGATACTATTTTAAAGTTCAAATATTTTATGAGATTAATTTTCTACTTTCTAAGCAATCAGGCTCAGTTTTATATGTAGCTATGCTATCTTAAAGAAATAACCTGCTGAATTATTTGGTTAAACACATTAATCTACTTAAAACTACATCAAAAGACGATAAATGTCAAAGTATCTTGCACATTAGAAAATCCCAAATAAAGCAACATTAGAGCACACAAAAGATAAGCCAGGATAAATAACTGAAATAGAAACATGGAACGTTTTGAAAGTCACTCCTACCGCGATATTTCCACAGGATTGGAAAGCAGTGAATATAAACATAAATGAGACTCCCAAAATAATGATGTTGAAAAGCTTTTTCCCTTCCGAAGACATTTCGTGTATTCTTCCCAAGTCTTCAGCTTCAGTCTGGAAAAACTCTTTTTTTCTCTTTTAAAAGTTTCCTCTTAACCTCTGTTAAAAAAGCAAAAGCAAAAAGAATAAAAGTAATTGAAAGTAATTATTACTTAGGGCTACTTATTAGCTGCTAGAAAATATCAATTAATCAAGAGTCCTGGTAACCCTTTAAATAACGTGCAACAAAATTCAAATAAATTTAAATTATTAAATAATTTAAATAAAAAACCAAAAAAAGATCTGGTAGAAAAGGTAAAGCCCAAGATTTCTTCTCTCTATTCCCACGAATTACCAAGGCTGACTGCAGTGTGTTATTTCATGACATCCCTTTCTCCCAAAGGAGCAGCTTTCCCAACACCGAGCAGGTTTAATCGCCTCAGCTTCTCGGCATTGTTGAAATCAGAATTGTGTTCCTCGGCCTCTCAATCACCTGACGAAGGAAAGATGAGCCAGCCGCACATTTCCATGTCCTGCACAGGAAATAAAGAACATTTCTGTGTCTGGATCAGCTGACCCAGCCCTGAAAGCCCTTGTGCACTATGGGAAATGTAGTTTTGTCAGGGCAACCTCGTCCGATTTAAAGAGGTGAAAACCAACCTTTAATCTCTCCCTTAAAATGAAGTCATTTCTACCAGTTTTTGAGAAGTGTAGTTTCTAGGCACTGAATAACACCTGGCAAGATTAAAAAAAAAAAACAAACAAAAAAACCAAAAAAAACCCAAAAAAAAAACCCAACAAAAAAAACCCTCACAAACCAAACCAAAAAGTAAAAACCTAAAAACCTCACACAAGTGTAGAATCATGGAATCACAGAATGGTTTTGTTTGAAAGGGACCTTCAAGTCCATCTTGTCCCACCCCTGCCATGGGCAGGGACACCTTCCACTAGAAAATGTTGCTCCAAGCCCCCTCCAGCCTGGCCTTGAACACCTCCAGGGATGGAAGTGTTCCATTAACCTTTTACTTCACAGTATTTCTAAATAAAAAATGCAAGATCAATTGATCTTCGAGTCATGAAGATTTCTGTTAAAACATCATCAGAACTGGGAGAGGATCAGACATTGACCAAAAGGCCGCTTTTTCCTGTTACCAGCCTTTGTCTATTCTGGTGGGCCTCTGGGATTGGAGAATTCAATTAAATCAGTTCTACATTAATGCTGGCCAAAAGGATAGAGGAAGAAATGCAGAATTGGTTGAAGTAAATGACAAATCACCACATTTTACCTCAGCTGTTTACAGTAAAGGGTTTAAAGAAACGGGTCTCAAAGGGAGAAAAGGATTTTAGGCCAGGAGTTAGGCTGTTTGAGAGAGTTTAGACTAGATATGAAAGGAGTTTGGCTTAATGAACCTAATCACCTTCCATGATTAAACAACTGCATGGATGGATGAGGGGAGGGCAGCGGCATAGGAAACTTCCTCTGTCATTTTAGGGAAATCTCTGTAAAGATAAACTTCAAATTTCTCCTTTGAAAAAGGGTTCCAGCAGATGAAACACTGGATTTTTTAATCAAAACTCTCTGGTGAAAAAATATGTGATAAATGGAGGTGATTCGTGCTAACTAAACTGTAACTATTTGGAAAGTTATTATTATAAAGTAATAAAGGGAATTAGGCTTACAAGGCAGATGGACCCCTTTGCAGATGTCATGTGTTAAAAAAAATATAGGATACAGGATGTAGTTTTAAGATAAGTAATGTCTTAAGACAAAATCGACCTTGAGATGTACAAAGCTGGAATGACTTCAAGCATAGGGTCTGAAATGATGGTTTTATCTTTGAAATGCAAGACTAATTAGTGGAATATAATGCTTACTTACATAACACAACGCTTATTAAGCACGTGCAACTTGTAAGGTTATCCAGAGGACTACGAGGATGAGTGTAAGCCTTCACCCAAAGACCACCAAAAGAAGAATGAAGACCCTCTAGCAACAAGTGAGGCATGTGCTGTGAGGAATAGTGACAATCAAGAATTGAAAGTAGGAGGAGACTTACAGGAAACATTAATGAGTATGTTTAAGTATAAGCATATAATATATAAGTTCAGTTTGAATTGCTTTGTTTGGTAGGGTGAGAAGCCCTCTCTGTACCCCGGTAGGTTTTACTTACGTTTTAATCATAATTACTGGCAAATTATATATATATACATATATCTGAATATATTCACTAAATTTTATTCTTTTACTAATTTGTATTCATTTATACCAAATTGCTATACTCAATTCACTAAATTTGTATTCTTTTACTAAATTGTATTATTTTATACCAAATTGCTATTGAATTCACTAAATTGTATTCATTTTTAATTCAATTGCTGTTAACTCAATAGACCTAGCTGTCTAATTTCATTCATAATAAATAGAACAAACATGAAGCAATACAAAATGTCAAAGCAGTACCAGTTTATTTGATTTCTAAAGTAATTTGTAGCACGAAACAAACTGTTGTTTCTGGATTTGTATCCATGTCACTGTTTATTTTTATAGTTTTTCAGTGTAAAAAAAAAAAACCCAAACACGATTATAGTAAAATTAAGAATTTTAATTCTAATACTGAAATAATTTTTCACATCAATACTGTCATTGGATTAGAAAACAGTCCCTTTTCTATTCTTTTTTTAACAGTGTTATGGAACAGCCAGGTAGAAACTTTAACATTGTTTTGAGATGAGAACCAGGTATTACAGTTCAGGAGTTTGGGCTTTTTAATAGTGCCTGAGGTGACAGAGCAACAACCTTTGGGGTGGGGGAGCAGCTTTCACAGAATTCCCTGGACTCTGAAAGTTGCTTGTCACCCTTACACGAGGGCTGTGCAAATCTCCCACGTTCCTGCCACAGCACGAACTTGCAGAGCAGGCCGATGTCAGGACGATTTTAGTATTTCCCTGCGCGGCTCCCACAGGCACCGAGGAGCCGGCGGGGACCGCCTGGGCTGCGGCGCGGATCCATCGTGTCCCACCCAGAGCCGGCGGGGCCGAGGAGGCTTCCCCGGGCCCCGCTGCCCGCAGGGATGAACGAGAGACCGCGGAGAGCCCGCTCCGGGCTGCCCGGCCCCTCACAGCCGGCACAGGCACACAGCGGAGCGCGGGCAGGAAAGGCACCGAGCTCGCACAGCAGCTGCTCCGGGAGACCCGCTCTCGCAGAACCCGGGCCGAGCGCCGGTTCCCTCACGGAACC